AGCTCAGATCCAGTCCACAGCAGATGAAAATAATCACAGCAGGATGACTGTGAGAGGAAAACCAACCTCTTAATCATCCAGTACTCAGTTATCATGACCACAGACACCTCAAAGACATCATCAAACCACCAGCATAATCGGAGTTAATTTTATTCTTTTAAAATGTTCAGTTTTTCTCATAAACACTGGATCGGATTCATGTGCGTGTCCGTGGGAGCACCAGCACTCCCTGTAGCATCGACAGGTTGAAGGTTTCCAGTTCCAAACCTCCAACCTGTTTAACAGAGTGGCAGCAAACAGCAGTTTCATTCTTTGTTTTCCCACATCAGCCGTTTCAGGATTTCCCTTGTCACAAAAGTGAAATGTAGTTTTTAGGCACAATCCCATGCTTCCCGCCCACAACGCCCATAATCCACTGCTCATCCACAGCCTCCACCTGTGTGATAATGTCACCGACCTGCACAGAAACACAGAGAGAGAACAGACATGTTAAAAAAATCAACACCTAAAAACTAAACACAGGAAATCTGACAGAGTATTTTATTTAGATCTGTAAGGATTTGTCAGTTTTCTGTAGTTTTTCTTGTGTACACCACCAGAGTGGATTTGAAATCAACCAGTCAAGATGTGATTGAAGTGCAGTCTTTCAGTCTTAATTTAAGGCGTTTAACAAAAACACTGGATTAGCAACCGTTTTTTATACTTGTGCCATAATTTTCTGAGGCTTAAAAATACGTGAATAGTTAACTGATAGTTTCATGGCCAGGTGAGTCCTGTTCTCTCATTATCCGAGGAGAAACTCGTCAGATTATTGGAACTGTCAACATGAAGTCTACTGAGGTATTAATGCCAGTGAAGGAGGGATTATGTATAAAATCAGCACTTTGAAAGTGTACAGAGGCAAGACTACAGTGTGTTTGTGTCCAAATACTTATGGCTCCTCACACACCTTCAGTGTGAGCTCATCCTCGCTTTCTGCTGTGAAGTCAAACAGAGCTTTGGCCATTCCTTTAGCCACAGGCTGCTGGCCTGTGATTGGCTGAGCTGGAGAAGAAAAAAAAAGTTTGATACAGTGTGCGTGTTTATTTGTGTATTTTTGTCGTTTGACAATCTCTCTCTGACCCACACATGCCAGACTTTTGTACCTTTGCAGGGCTGTGTAAAGGCCACGGGGTAAAGCCCCTCTCTCCCCTCCACTCTTCCTCTCCTCCACTCTGTGTCGATGTGCTCCGTCACTTGGATCAGCGCCCCCTTGTGGAAGGACAGATCCTCTGGGGTCTGACCGGGGAAGTCAAACAGAGCTACGGCCCACTCCTCAGTCTGCACAGGTTAACAAATCAATACTGAGAGAATCACTTACATTTTAAACCAACCATAAATTAAATTATATAATAAAACAGAATATAAAAAGAGCTTCTTGCATTCTTTTAAAAATCTAAATAAGTGGTTCTTAAAAGTTCAAAAAAATTAAGACCAAACCACATCAACACAGTGAATTATATTCTTAACTATTACATTGATTTTAAAGAATCTCTGCAGACAAATTCAGCCTTTACTCTGATCTCAGTGCAGCTCCTACAAGCAAATATAAAGTTTTCAATCTAGCTGCTGATTAAAATGAATAAAACTTGTTGCAAAGCACTCGACAGCAGTGAGACGCTTTTCTTCTTCTCTGACATGTTTTCTTTACAGCCCAGGTTTTACTGCACATGGAAAAATAACTGATGGGAGAACATGTTTGTCCATCGTGTTGACTGTTTACCTGAAGCCTTTGTTACTTATAACATTTATAATCACTATATCAGC